GGATCTATGATAATAACCCTGTCCCACACATGGATCTATGATAATAACTCTGTCCCACACATGGATCTATGATAATAACCCTGTCCCACACATGGATCTATGATAATAACCCTGTCCCACACATGGATCTATGATAATAACTCTGTCCCACACATGGATCTATGATAATAACTCTGTCCCACACATGGATCTATGATAATAACTCTGTCCCACACATGGATCTATGATAATAACCCTGTCCCACACATGGATCTATGATAATAACTCTGTCCCACACATGGATCTATGATAATAACTCTGTCCCACACATGGATCTATGATAATAACTCTGTCCCACACATGGATCTATGATAATAACTCTGTCCCACACATGGATCTATGATAATAACTCTGTCCCACACATGGATCTATGATAATAACTCTGTCCCACACATGGATCTATGATAATAACTGTCCCACACATGGATCTATGATAATAACTCTGTCCCACACATGGATCTATGATAATAACTCTGTCCCACACATGGATCTATGATAATAACTCTGTCCCACACATGGATCTATGATAATAACTCTGTCCCACACATGGATCTATGATAATAACTCTGTCCCACACATGGATCTATGATAATAACTCTGTCCCACACATGGATCTATGATAATAACTCTGTCCCACACATGGATCTATGATAATAACTCTGTCCCACACATGGATCTATGATAATAACTCTGTCCCACACATGGATCTATAATAATAACTCTGTCCCACACATGGATCTATAATAATAACTCTGTCCCACACATGAATCTATGATAATAACGGCCCTGTTCAGCATTGTGGATAAACCATGGATCTATAATAACCACGGGACAAACAGACGCTGAGGATCAGGTAGGAACCAAAGAACACAATTCACTACATGATGCGGAATATTGCTCTTTGAGACGTGAGTCAAACAGTGTCAGGCTTTTAATAATGCAAATGGTTTGAAGATGTCCATTAACATCAATGTAAACTGTGAACAGTTTTAACTCCATAAGCCTGTTGCACAGCGTCTCCTCACTGCTCCAGTCTGCACACGGCTCAGTGTTGTTGTGTAGCGTTAGCAGCTTAGTTAGCAGCATAGTTAGCAGCATAGTTAGCAGCATAGTTAGCAGCATAGTTAGCATCATAGTTAGCAGCATAGTTAGCAGCATAGTTAGCAGCATAGTTAGCAGCATAGTTAGCAGCATAGTTAGCCGCTGCGTGGCTAATTCCTCAGTTTCTGTCTGCGGCTTGTTAAGCCCAAAAAATGCGCACGTATCTTGGAGTTGTGTCGGATCGACACTGGATGTAATCAGACCTGATTCGACTTGGACCAGAATTCGTTTGGAAGCGGACCGAGACCACCTCAAAAAGTGGGTCTCGGTTCGGTTCTTTGGTCCGCACCAGGATTCGTTTGTGTGTATTCAGACCTGCATAAAAGATTCGGATCAGAGTTCCAAACGAATCCTGGTTCGTTTAAAGTGGAGCAAATGTGCAGGTCTGAATACACCCTTACATTTTAATAGCCACATCAAATCAGTAACATCAGCAGCTTTTTACCATCTAAAAAACATTGCCAGGATCAAAAACAGTGTCTAAAGCAGACTTGGAGATTCTTATCCATGCATTTGTCTCCAGTAGGTTAGACTACTGCAATGGCTGCTCACAGGTCTGTCCAAACAGGCTGTAAAACAGCTGCAGTACATTCAAAATGCAGCAGCTCGAGTCCTGACTAGAACCAGGAAGTACGACCACATTAGTCCTGACTAGAACCAGGAAGTACGACCACATTAGTCCTGACTAGAACCAGGAAGTACGACCACATTAGTCCTGACTAGAACCAGGAAGTACGACCACATTAGTCCTGACTAGAACCAGGAAGTACGACCACATTAGTCCTGACTAGAACCAGGAAGTACGACCACATTAGTCCTGACTAGAACCAGGAAGTACGACCACATTAGTCCTGACTAGAACCAGGAAGTACGACCATATTAGTCCTGACTAGAACCAGGAAGTACGACCACATTAGTCCTGACTAGAACCAGGAAGTACGACCACATTAGTCCTGACTAGAACCAGGAAGTACGACCACATTAGTCCTGACTAGAACCAGGAAGTACGACCACATTAGTCCTGACTAGAACCAGGAAGTACGACCACATTAGTCCTGACTAGAACCAGGAAGTACGACCACATTAGTCCTGACTAGAACCAGGAAGTATGACCACATTAGTCCTGACTAGAACCAGGAAGTACGACCACATTAGTCCTGACTAGAACCAGGAAGTACGACCACATTAGTCCAGTTCTCAGGTCTCTGCACTGGCTTCCTGTGGCTCAGAGAATAGACTTTAAAACAGCTCTGCTTGTTAAAAGTCTCTCCATGGCCTCGCACCAAAATATATTAGTGACATGTTAGTCCCATATGAACCAGCCCGGACTCTGAGGAGCACAGGGACTGGACTCCTGCTGGGACTCTGAGGAGCACAGGGACTGGACTCCTGCTGGGACTCTGAGGAGCACAGGGACTGGACTCCTGCTGGGACTCTGAGGAGCACAGGGACTGGACTCTTGCTGGGACTCTGAGGAGCACAGGGACTGGCCTCCTGCTGGGACTCTGAGGAGCACAGGGACTGGACTCCTGCTGGGACTCTGAGGAGCACAGGGACTGGACTCCTGCTGGGACTCTGAGGAGCACAGGGACTGGACTCCTGCTGGGACTCTGAGGAGCACAGGGACTGGACTCCTGCTGGGACTCTGAGGAGCACAGGGACTGGACTCCTGCTGGGACTCTGAGGAGCACAGGGACTGGCCTCCTGCTGGGACTCTGAGGAGCACAGGGACTGGACTCCTGCTGGGACTCTGAGGAGCACAGGGACTGGACTCCTGTTAGTGCCCAGAGTCAGAACTAAACATGGGGAGGCTGCTTTTCAGATTCATGCTGCTAAAATCTGGAACAGTCTTCCTGAAGATGTGAGACAGGCCTCCTCTCTGACAATGTTTAAAACCAGGTAAAAAACGGTTCTGTTTAGCTGTGCTACAACTGAGGGATTTTATATTTTTATCTTTTTAATGAGAAGTGTCTTGGCGGCAGGCAGGTGCAGCAGGAACGGTGTGCTCATGGCCTTTGTTATCTATGTATTGTTTTTAACGCTATATGGCCCCCGTTACAAAAGTTATGATAGGCAACATAAAGTGATTGGATTTAATCACCCGGTTGAAGAAGCTGCCCTTATCCACAACGGAGGAAGAAAGCATTTGGGACATGGGAAAGTTGTTGCGGCTGCAACCTTTGTATTTCCTGGTCTGATGAACTCTTTCAAAAAACCACGAAAGAGACCAACAACGCGTGCATTAAATGGCGAAGCCCTGATGATAATCATATGTCTGTTATTATCGGGAGACATTCATCAATGCCCCGGCCCGGTGTGCATGTGTAATATTCCTGTTCATGCAACAGGAATATTACACCTGGATATACCGATCCATGTGGCGCGGGAGTGTTCAATCGGCACTGGTATGCGGATGGATGACAATGCCATGCATAGCAACACCGCGGAGAGCGGACACCCCGTCTCCGTGCGTAATCAGCCGGGCACCGGTATCGGGGTGCAGCGGGGAGCAGAGCGCAGGAGAACGCGCGCATCCAAACAAAGTCATTTCAGTAACAAACGAAGAGCACCTCAACAAACAAGCTCCCAGCAGAGGAGGTATGACTTGACACTTCTACACACCCTAAACCATGCGAAAGTTGTCTGGGACAATAGATCTAAGCTACGAGGCCTGCTGGGAGGCCATTTGAACATTAGGAGCATTGCCTCTAAAACTGAACAAGTGGAGAAACTCCTCACCAATTCGAATCTGGACTTTATCTGTCTGTCAGAGAGCTGGTTAACAAAGACCTCCACAGGCAGCCTATCACATTCCAGACTATACAGTATACAGAAGGTATAGGACAACTGGAAAAGGAGGTGGACTAATGTTCTACATTAAAGACCATATACAAACCAATACTGTTATGTGAACTTTAGGTCCTCCTCATTTGGTTAGAACTGTTTCTCTGTCAAAGCAGCAGTGGCCTGGAACTCACTAACTCTGTCTGTGCGGGAGAGTAGCTCACTAGGACAGTTTAAACTCGGCCTAAAAAACTGGCTCAAAGAGAATCAAGTCTGTAGTCATTAGTCAGATGTAAATAATTGTGTGATGTATATTTTGTATGTATTGAATTGTGTCTGTGTGATTTAGAGGTGTTGTATTTTATCTGTATTTTAATTAGGCCATTCATTCTTTCTATTTATCAATTCTTTGCACACTGTAAACCTGCTGTCATGTTGCCTCTGCCTCAGGGACTACGGATGAAAATTAGCTTGTAGCTATATCCGGTCTGAACAATACATTTATTGTGCAATGTCCCTGTCAAATAAACAAATAAATAAATAAATGTTCTGTGATTATTTATGATAATTTATGATTATTATATTGAGTTGCCTTGTGTATGAATTGTGCTATACAAATAAACTTGCATTTTCTTAAACATTAACTTCTAAAGACACATGGTTGCACTCAGAGAAAACGTTTTTTTTACAGGTTGTGAAGCTAAAGCAAAGTTGTGTTTTATGTCACTTTGTGTTCAACTTTTACTTATGCCGTAATCAGTTTAAAATTCCTTCAGGTTAAAGTTTTGCAAGCCCCTTTAATTCAAAACCCTTTCCCTGAGATTGCAGAAAGAGCCCAATGTTCATGACATGTTATTGATGAATAGCTCTGTGATTCAACTGCTGAACAGGATTCCTCGTTTGCCCCGGTGTCATAAGAGTCAGTACTTTATCTCTTGTGAAATGTAAAGTCTTTTTTTTACGTCCATTACGTCCATCTTTACAAGTAGATACAGGCAACTACTTCCGCTGGTGAAATGACATGAATTATTCCCCATGATAAAAGTGGTGGACTCTAATTTTAGTTTCTGATTCAGCAAGTCCACCCACGGCCCAAGAAACCCAGCAGCCTGCGCATCTACGAGGCTCACGTGGGGATTGCTTCACCTGAGGGAAAGATTGCTTCATACACCAACTTCACTACCAACGTGCTGCCCCGCATAAAGGAGCTGGGTAAGTCCACAATGTGATAACCTCCAACAGATTATTCTCTTTTCTCCTGTCCCGCCTGGTATTCCACCCGGCTTGTAAAAACTGGGAGAAAACGGGTTGAAACGCTAGTAGCATGTGTTTGTAAGTGATGAAATGTCTTCTGTGGTGACTTGTGCTGACGAGTTTCACCCTAGCATCGGGCGAGAAAACCCATGTGTGTATGAAATGAGAAACCTGTAAAGCAGTTTATTCTGAGTTTGAATGGTGTAAATCAATTATAGTTTCTCAACAGCATATCAGATATTTTGAACTTGTTGCAATCAATTCTTATCACAAGTTGTGAATGGGCTGTTATATCTTTATATTTATGGACATGGAGTGGTAATGTTTACAAGACAAACAAAACTCACCCGACATAGCTCTTCATACAATATTGTAAAGTAATTCTGAACGCCCAAGCAACATTGTATCGACGCATTTGACATGTCTTCCTATAAATACATTACCCTATTGTCCTACGAGCTGCTCTATGACATGAGATACGGGTTTATATTATGTAGACTTGTTTAGTTCTTACTGCCATGTATAAACGTAGCTGTCTTGTAATCTTAACTTCACTTCGAACTCAATCATTCGGTTTGATATAGTTTTGAAAAAATAAAATGTATTACAAGCATTCAGTATGGGTATGATTCAGATGATAGTTATCCTTTTTATCTGTAACTGTCATAAGTACAGGCTGAGATTGGAGCCTTTACACTTATGGTGTAGTACCCCCTTAAGTTTTAGTTTGCGCCGTTGTAAGTGGGAATCGGAGAGGGCTCACATGTTAAATGCCAATCAGATGGATAAACATGACTAAGAGCTTTATGAACCTTTTAATGTTCTTTAAAAGTGTCCGTGAGGCTAATGGGGTCAGTGCTGTGCGAAACGCTCTCTCTGGTCCTATTCCTGGTCCCTGCTGGAGATGCATTTGCATTCAGACAGCCCGCCGCACGATCATACTATAAAGCACTCGTTTGAATGGTGAACCTGGAGCTATCTGATAAATACTGCTCTCCTCTGACTTTGTCAGTGAGGAACGCAACCAATGACATACAAAATCCAACATCCAACCAAATGTGGGCCGTCTATCAGACCAAGCTCAAGTCCCTTATCGTCTCTCTGGATTCATGAAAAATGCACATAATCTTACGGCTTCAAATGATGACAACCATTTGCGTAAGCCACCAAATCTGATTTTAGTGTGTTCAGACTTTTTTCTAATATTGTCTATTTCTACCCCTTAATCCATTCCTGGGTCAGGGGGGTGGCAGTCAGAGATGCCACCCAAGTCTCATAGCACCAGCCCCTCACTGACCCTCTGCATGTGGTGAGTCCACAGGAGGACATAGCCTTGATCTTTCAGTGGGGGCTTTGGGCAAAGTGGGGTTAAGTGTCTTGCCCAAGGACACAACGACAGCAGTCATCAGTGGGAGTCGGTGGAGAAGGTGTCAAGGTGGGAATTGAACCCACGACCTTCAGGCCTAACAGCCAATGCTCTACCAACTGAGCTACTGTCGCCTCTATTGTATAGGGCACTGTCCGGTTTCCGAAATGTGCTAAAAATAGCTCAGATGACTGCGCATGCGCGCATGTTTCGGACAAACATTGTGTACGACGCGTTGAGTTCTACTGTGTTCTCCACATACGTGTGTATTTACTTGGGCTAAATCATTAAATCATGGTGACAACAAAACACTGCAGTTATGGTGCTTGTCGGAGCGATTTCAGATATTCTGAAAAGGACTATCAAAGTAACATTCAACCCGTTCGTTAAACCACAACATCGGACCAGACCAGGACCAGACCAGGACCAGATCAGACCAGGACAAGTGCAAGAGGTGGGTGCTTGTGGTCGGCAGAATTTCTTTCATGAAAAGGTTAAAAAGGACACATGTTTTTTCAAAACACTTCGTCTGTGAAGCTGGACCAACTGTGGAGCCTCCAGATCCAGTCCTAGCTACGTTTAGCTGGGACTGGATCTGGACCGCTGTATCTGGTCCGTCTGAGCTCTTCTGAATGTAGTTAGCACAAACTTTCTCTTTATACCATTTACCCCATCAATCCATATTAGTATTGTTTGTCCTAATCCAGAAAGTATACAATTCTCACACCTGAAGAAAGATGAGAGGGATTTTTTTCAACTTTGTGACTATCTGAAAATAAGTTCAGACGAAGCGCGTCGGGGTCCGCTTATTATACGGCTTTGTACCAACTCAACACGCAAAATAAACGTCATTCACTATTAATGCCGAAAGGTTTATTTAATGAGTGCAAAGAAAATGGTTCCCAAAGGTTTTCCCGTGGCAGGCGAGCAACAGTGAGGATAGTTAACCTACTTTTAAAAAGCGATCGCTTTAGTTGCATTAAAAAAGTATTTTTGTCATGAAAACCTGAACAGATAATTCTGAAAACCTCCGTGCACTTGTGTTATGAATGTATGTATAATGTATTCTCCCATTAACATTTAAATGTGTCGATTGATTGTCATTTGCGTTTACTGAGTGTGGCTAGCTCCGATAGTTTCTCTCTGCAGAGACAGTAGTGGCGTAACCCGTTGTGACCCCATGGATCTATTATAATATCAGCTGACTGTAGCTAACTAATGATCAAACTAATTACAAAGTGGATAGTGCAAAAAAAAAACTTGATAAATGGAAGTTAATCACAGCAAAACAAACAAAGAAGGCGCTAGCATTGCAATTTAAATGACTAGATAATGTTAGCATAATCCTCACCATTACCTTTTTATCAACTCAAACTTTCTACTGGAAGACCACGACATTCAAGCCAACGTTATAATTGGTCTACACTATGATCCCTGATGGTTTGATGGTGGAATTTTGCCCCTGGTATTTCATTTTCGTCTAAAGTGACAATTGAAATTTGATTCATTTGGGCAGTGTTTGTCCGAAACATGTGGGCGGGAGTTGACAGGCGGCGGGGGCGTGTCTTAGTGACGTCATTCAGATAGTTCGCTAGATATGTTACAGTAATTAACAGGGGTCTGGTTGTGGCCCCGCCTTCTGCAGCTTCTTCTCTCCTGAATGTCTCGCTTCTTGTAAAGAGCAGCCTCTGGGACTGTGTCGGGCCTTTCTCACATCGTGAAAACTATAATGTAGTGTTTGTTCCTTTATCAAAACTGTTTCTTCTATGACGTCTAAAACTGTCCACCGCCACCAGGTGATTGCGACAAGTCGCCTGGGCCATTAGCTGAGCCGTGACTGGTGGTGCGACAGCTCGGTGTGCTGCATTAGTTAAGCGTGACTGTGATGCGACACAGCTCGGTGGGTGTATGTACTGTGCTTGCATTAGCTTAGCCGTGACCTGGTGATGCGAAGCTTCGGTGTGCTGATTAGCTTAGCAGGAAGCGGCGGCGAGTTACAGCTCCGTGATCTTCAGGTGCCACGGCGGGGCTGCAGCCGGGCCTCAGCAGCTGCAGAGCTATTGGTCAGCTGCTCTGTGCTGGCGTGTCATTTTATTTTAGATCGAAATTTTGTGCAACAAGGAAGAGAATTTGTTTTCGGGACCAGATTGTGACCAATCACAGCGAACCACTGGCCCCCACGAAAGAAAGTCTCGTTCCTCCGCGCTTCCCGGTGCTATCATTCTATGGTCTCGCCATCCACGTTCAAATGTGCGATCCATATTGTGAGACGGTAGCTCCGTAAATAGCACATGTGCGGCTGAGGGGGAGGGGGTAGTGGGGGGCGATAGCTCCGCGAGTGCGGGAGTTTCTTGTCCGTCCGTCCGTCCGTTTTCCTCCGCTTCATCTGTTGCCGGGTCGCGGGGGCAGCAGTCTAAGCAGAGACGCCCAGACTTCCCTATCCACACACACTTCCTCCAGCTCGTCCGGGGGGACACCAAGGCGTTCCCAGGCCAGCTGAGAGAAATAGTCCCTCCAGCGAGTCCTAGGTCTTCCCCAGGGCCTCCTCCCAGTGGGACGTGCCCGGAACACCTCCCCAGGGAGGCGTCCAGGAGGCATCCGGAACAGATGCCCGAGCCACCTCAACTGGTTCCTCTCGACGTGGAGTAGCAGCGGCTCTACTCCGAGCTCCTCCCGTGTGACCGAGCTCCTCACCCTATTTCTAAGGGAGCGCCCAGCCACTCTGCGGAGGAAGCTCATTTAGACCGCTTGTATCCGCGATCTCGTTCTTTCGGTCACTACCCAAAGCTCATGACCATAGGTGAGGGAGGGAACGAAGATTGACCGGTAAATCGAGAGCTTTGCCTTTCGGCTCAGCTCCCTCTTCACCACGACGGTCTGATACAGTGACTGCATCACTGCGCACTCTGCACCGATCCGCCTGTCAATCTCACACTCCATCCTTCCCTCACTCGTGAACAAGACCCCGAGATACTTGAACTCCTCCACTTGAGGAAGGACCTCTCCACCCACCTGTAGAGGGCAAGGCACCTTTTTCCGGTCGAGCACCATGGCCTGCGACAGGAAACCATTGTAGAGACGACAGCACAGGAGTGATGTTGTCATGGTTTAGATTTATTTCCTGTTTCATTTTAGTAGTTTGTTTAATCCCTGCGTCTTCTTTGGTTGTACTTCCTGTTTGATTTCCTGCCCTGTCCTCATTACTATCACCTGTGTCTCGTTAGTCTTTTATTTATCCTTGTGTGTTCCTTCACTCCCTGTTCCGTCATTGTCATCCCTCGTTTGTTTTAGTTCTGTCCTTGGTCCCTGTGTTTTTGGATTTGTTTTATCTTTTTTTATCAAATCCATTATTTTTAGCAGTTTGGCATTTTGGGTCTCATTTACTTTTACAAACGTGACAGAATGATGGAACCACACAAGGCCCAAGCAGACTGCTTTATTTTGAACACACAGTGATTACAAGTCTGGTGACTAACATGATGTAAAGTCGTGACGGGTCATCCTCCAGGACCAACTTGGTACGGTGAAAATATGCGAACGTATTTTTTGTGCTGTGGTTCCTTGTCATCACATTTCAGGGTGGCTATACACATTTTATTGATTAGTTTTATTCAAGACTTAACATTGTGTGAGTCACGTGACTTGTAATGACTGTGTACATACACAGGTGTGTAGCCTGATTTTTTTTTTGTCTGATGAAGGGTAGTTTGTTCCTGAAACATCAAATCTTGTGGTGCTAAATAAAATATTCCCTTGGGAGCGTGCAGAGTCATCTCCATTTTTTTCATCTTATTTTTTAAATAACTTCATGGACTCTCTTTGCCTTTTTTTAAAACAAAAACTGAGTGCATCTGTGGAAAATGGGTAAAAATGTGTTAGCAAAATTTGAATTGGTCTCCCTTTACTCTCAGAAGTTGAATTAACAAAAGGGGAAGATAACAGGCAAGCAGAACTGGGGTACTGGATGTGGGGTGAATTGAAGTGCTTGACCATCTTTCCTTCCAACAGGACAGGAATTAGAGGAAGAAAGTAATTTGAAGAAGTGTGAGCAGCATGTGTCCTCTTAGCTCTGCTTTCTGTCTGATAGAGCACAGCCTTTAAAAAGAGAAACATTACTTTTGGAAATGCCTAATAACGCATTACGCCCCAACAATATTAAGAAACATTTTAAAGTGCAATCTATAAAATATTGTATTGATTTATTAGTCAGAACTTTAGTAGTCCGAACTGGTTAGCTCTGGTGAAAAGCAAATCTATATTCCTACTCTGATCAAAAGCGATGTACGAAGATGTTGTCAGGGGCAGAAAGGCACCTCTAAACTATCTAACCATATACATGTATGCATAGTAAAATTCCCTTGTTCAGGTTTAAAGCTGCATTACCTTACTTTATTTTTGTATTCATTACGAAAATTCCATCCATATCTATGCAATGCATTGGAATATACGTCCTTTTGAAGAAAAAGTAGCGCAGATTTGTGCTAGCGTGTCATTTAATTTTAGATCGAGTTCTCGTGAAACAAGGAAGAGAATGTGTTTCGGGTCCAGATTGTGAGCAATCACAGTGGACCACTGGCCCCCAACTTTCTTGAGAAAAGTCACAGGTCTCTCGTTAGCACAGACAGCTAAGGTAAACAAGCAGCGGAGGCTAACCTGAAGCTTGTCGTGTCTTTGTTACTGCTTACAAAGCAAAACAGCCATCCAAAAGAAAATCTTGTCCTCTCCGCGCTTTCCGGTTCTATCATTCTATGCAATCCATTTTGTGGGACGTGAGCTCCGTATACAATTAGCTTGTGAGCATAAGCTGAGGGGGAGGGGGGAGGGGGTAGTGGGGGGGGCGAAAGCTCCGTGGGTGCGGGGAGGGCGAGCAGAGAGAGTGCGCCCAGAGTTCACATTCGAACATGTCAAGGGAAGAGAAACTTTGCTTTTGAAATTGCAATATTTATCTTCATCCCTTTCCTTAATTCCTGAAACAATTTCCTTTTCAATTAGAAAAATATAGCAATGTGTTCAAATGTAACATGTCACAAGAGGACGATATTTAGGTTACTTTTAATAATTGGGTTACTTTCACAAATGCACGGGAATATATTGTATATAGTAATTGTAATCGTAATATTTGAAATGTTACACCTTAGAAGTGTATGCTGATTTTTATTATGCCTTACTCTATTCTATACCTATCTTTTCTGACTAGTGCACCGAGCCAAAGCAATTTCCTAGTCTGGGACTTCCTGTTACTTACATGGCAATAAAAATGATTCTGATTCTGAACTTCATATCTCATTCAAGATTGACAACTACTGCATATTGCATGGAAGATGCGTTTGACAATCTTATGCAATCATCAAGCCTAAGAAAGAATAAAAGCCAATTCAAACAAATAAACCGTTGCTGTCTTTTGAGTAAGACTAAATATACATCAAAATCAAATCTTATTCCAAGATGGATGATCAAGATTCAGTTAATTGCAAAAGCTTTTACTTTGACCGGAAAACTGCGGGAGGTTGTGCCATCATGAGACACTTAAGATTATTGGAGCACTTCAGTTTTAAGCCTTCTCTTACAGACAGCACTTCAAGGTGACATTTGGTATTGAAATGTGTCTAGCTGCCACGCCCTCTTGTGGACCCCGGGAGAAATTTGCTGTCATAAAACGTCAGGGCACGTCTGGCCTTCTTGGATGGCTGCCATAGTAGAGAGCTCAGGGGAGAGACAGCCCAAACACATCAGTTATTACAACGGTAATGAAGGCAGCCACTAGGGAAAGCAGTCATTTTCAAACTTATTGTTTATGAATTATTTAGTCCCCACTGTGCTGCGGACGATTAGAATCTTTATGAACCGTTATGGGCAAGCTATGCATTGGATGGCTGTGGCAAGCATTGCTATTGCAACATAAATAATAATACATTATTTGTCTCAGTATAACAACATAAAGGGTATTGCAAAAACTGGCCGTTGTCATCTTTTTTAGAGAACATGTTATCTTTTGCAAACTTGTATTCTGTATTCATCCCACAGGGGTGTTTCAGCACACATACAGGACAGCAAGAAGGCACAAAATATAGCTGATGTGATAGAAAGCGAAAAATACATAATTGCGAAAACGAGGGACTAGTTACATGGATTTTATAAAATTTTTGTGGTAGGCACCAAAGCTTTAAATCAGTGGTCTCCAAACTGCGCCCCTACCTTTGCTCCGGCCCCCTGACCAATACCAGAGCCAGAGAGTATTTTCATATATATATATATATATATATATATCCATCCATCCATCCATCCATTTTCTTCCGCTTTATCCGTTGCCGGGTCGCGGGGGCAGCAGTCTAAGCAGAGACGCCCAGACTTCCCTATCCACACACACTTCCTCCAGCTCGTCCGGGGGGACCCCAAGGCGTTCCCAGGCCAGCTGAGAGACATAGTCCCTCCAGCGTGTCCTGGGTCTTCCGCGGGGCCTCCTCCCGGTGGGGCGTGCCCGGAACACCTCCCCAGGGAGGCGTCCAGGAAGCATCCGGAACAGATGCCCGAGCCACCTCAACTGGTTCCTCTCGACGTGGAGAAGCAGCGGTTCTACTCCGAGCTCCTCCCGTGTGACTGAGCTCCTCACCCTATCTCTAAGGGAGCGCCCAGCCACTCTGCGGAGGAAACTCATTTCGACCGCTTGTAACCGCAATCTCGTTCTTTCGGTCATTACCCAAAGCTCATGACCATAGGTGAGGGAGGGAACGAAGATTGACCGGTAAATCGAGAGCTTTGCCTTTCGGCTCAGCTCCCTCTTCACCACAACGGTCCGATACAGCGACCGCATCACTGCGCACGCTGCACCGATCCGCCTGTCAATCTCACGCTCCATTCTTCCCTCACTCGTGAACAAGACCCCGAGATACTTGAACTCCTCCACTTGAGGAAGGACCTCTCCACCCACCTGCAGAGGGCAAGGCACCTTTTTCCGGTCGAGCACCATGGCCTCGGATTTGGAGGTGCTGATTCTCATCCCAGCCGCTTCACACTCGGCTGCAAACCGTCCCAGTGCATGCTGCAGGTCCTGGTTCGTTGGAGCCAACAGGACAACATTGTCCGCAAACAGCAGAGATGAGATCCTGTGGTCTCCGAACCGGACCCCCTCCGACCCCTGGCTGCGCCTAGATATTCTGTCCATAAATACAGTGAACAGAACCGGTGACATATATATATATGATAAGTTAGACTTTTGCAATAAAAATTTCCTTATGTTATGTGTTATAATATAATATATATTATAATATAATATAATATGTTATAATATAATTATAATATAAATTATAACATTAAAAAATATATAAAATTAATTTAATGCCGTGAGTCTATCAGCGAGTACAATTACCAGACGCATTGAAGAAATCGGGGGTAATGTATATGCCCAACTGCAGCAGAAGACAAAAGAAATTGTAATTTTTTCATTAGCACTGGATGAGAGCACGGACGTGCAGGACACCGCGCAGCTGCTCATGTTTATTTGTGGAGTTACTGCAAACTTTGAGATGTACGAGGAGCTGGCAGTACTCCAAAGTCTCAAAGGGACTACGACGGGGGAGGATATTTTTGACAAAGTGTACCAAACCATGGAAGAGTTGGACCTGGACTGGTCAAAGCTGGTCAGCATCACAACTGACGGGGCTCCTAGTATGGTGGGCATGTCTCGGGGTCTATTAGGACTCATGAACCGGGAGATTGAAGAAACAGGTTTCACCGCCCCGCTACATGTCCACTGCCTAATTCACCAGCAAGCACTGTGCTGCAAAGTGTTGACGTGGAATTATGTCATGAAGGTTGTGGTGTCATGCATAAACTTCATCAGAGCAAAGGGACTTAAACACAGGCAATTCCAAGAATTCCTGTCTGAACTGGAATCTGCGCACGGAGATGTGCTGTACTATACAGAGGTCCAATGGTTGAGCCGGGGCAGAGTTTTGAGGCGTTTTTACGAGCTGCTACCTGAAATTAACGCATTTCTTCATTCACAAAACAAAACGGTGCCAGAGCTGATCGACCCTGAATGGAAATGGCACCTCGCATTTTTAACAGACATGACAGAAATGCTGAACAACTTTAACTTGCAGCTCCAAGGCCAGGGGAAACTCATTTGTGAAATGTATTCCCACATTAAAGCATTTGAGGTGAAACTAGAGCTGCTTTTGGGACAAGTGAAACAGCACAGTTTTTATCCATCACTCTGCTACACAACATTTCTCTGCAGAAAACCCAGCGGTCCCTTTTCCAGCTGAAAAGTGTTTGGAAGCACTGGAATTTCTAAAGGCGGAGTTCGATGTGCGATTCCGTGAACTACATGTTTATGCAAAAGAAATCCGTCTTTTCCAGAACCCCTTTGTTGCCGACATTGATGAAGCCCAGCCTTCTTTTCAGTTTGAGTTAGCAGAGTTACAGAACTGTGATGTTCTGAAAGACGCGTTCAAGCCCAACAGTCTCATTGAATTTTATGCCGCCCTCCCAAACGACACGTACCCTATCATCAGAAAACACGCGATGAAGATGTCCACACTTTTTGGCAGCACGTATATCTGAAAACCTTTTCACGTATGAAACTGCTGTAAAGTTCAATGAGATCAAGATTGACGGATGAACATCTGCATCAGTGTTTGAGACTGGCAGTGACTAGAATGGAACCTGACATTCAACTTCTCACCAGCCAGATGCAGGCTCACAGTTCACACTGATGAACGTACGCTCACGTTTCTGATTTGGATCAGTCATTCTGAGTATAATAATATAATCATAATAAAATCTATCTCTACAACAGCCGCAGCGCCAGGGATAGGCCTGGGTAGGCCGCGGTGCCTTGCAGTTTTTTTCTTGGCCTCCTCAAATCATCCTTTTTTATTTAAAAGTCATAACTTAAATATTGTTATTATTATACACAATTTATTGCCTAAATGTTGCGTCCTAATGTTTTTAGAAAATGTAACCCCCTGAGCGTTCCTACGTTGCTTCGAAATATAGTTCAATTTATTGGCTGATCAATTTAGTCCAATAAGCTGCATGCTCATATCAAACAGCGCTAAGCTCGTTCCCCGAGAACAACCTGCTGTTCCTCGTCTTAAAAATTGACAATGCTCTCAAAACATTCACAACCGAGTCGCCTTTTTAATTTTAGTTTTAATAAAGTTCAGCGTGAACTTCGTGAGGTATAGAGGATCCAGAGGCCCGGCGCCGAGGTCCCAGAGGAGAGCGCAGTCAGGCCAGGCTCGCCTCGCACTAATGAGGTAAACTCCACGGGTCTGTGTGCGTGCGTGTGCGCGTGAGGTTTGAACCATATTCTTTGAAACCCCAATTCCAACTACCCCTTGTAATTTGCGAGCGAATTGGGCATAATTACTAATCTGCAGACCTACCCATTATTGCAAACCTGGCGCCGCTACTGCTGCACAACTGTAGTGGTACTGGTTCTGCTTTATCACTTAGTTCAGTTTGTCAGCTTCACAGGGAAGTTGATGAGACAGGGAGCTGCAACCTACAAAAAGATTAAAGCTGCACTAACTGACTTTATTTTCGTATTCCTTACAAAAATGCAATCCATATCCATGCAGTGCATTGAGATATACGTCCTTTGGAAGAATAAGTAGCGCAGGTTTGTGCTGGCGTGACATTATATTTTAGATCGAGTTTTGGTGAAACAAGGAAGAGAAAGTGTTTCGGGTCTCTGATTGTGACCAATCACAGCGGGCCACTGGCCCCCACTTTCGTGAGAAAAGCCACAGGTCTCTGGTTAGCACAGACAGCTGAGTTAGCACAACAAGCGGCGCAGGCTAACCTGAAACTTCCTGTGTCTTCGTTACTGCACTCACAGAAATGATTCATGCCAGAGTTCATTTTTATGCATTTACATCTATTTGATTTTATTTAAAAACTCATATTCTTAAAATGTATGCATTAAAAATAATTTTAATCTACATAATTTAATCAATTCTGAAATGTATTAAATGTAATTAGTTAATACATACTGACATTATTTAAATAATCAAAGTTATAAAACAAACAAGAATATTTTATTTAATATTTATGTGATTGATTTTCGTAGAAGTTATGTGAAGTGAAATGGAGAAACCGGAAACAGCGCCTTTCACTTCCGCTGAATTCTCGCGCTCAGGCACTTCAGGCACTTGTGGGTTGCCCTTCCAGTCGTCCATGTGAAGGTAAGTAATCCGAGATATCCTGTGTGTAGTTACTCCTAATCGTGCAGTTTATCTCACATCAATATTATATAATGTATGTATTTGTATCTGCGTAGTTCGTGATTCTTGTAAGCAGCTTAATCTTGGTCATGTCGCGTGTACCGTCGCGCGTTAGCATCGTAGCTAACAAGTTAGCTACCATTTTCTGTAATGGTTGTCATTTGTATGAAAACAATTTTCACATAGTAAACTGAGCTATGTAACTGCAATTAATTAATGTAAAGAACTGAAGAAGAATTGAGTCAAGAATCTGGACTCTAATATGATGGTTAGCTAGGTGATAGAGTACTTTATTTAAATACTGGCTTGAATTTCAGAAATGAATGTTGGATGCCGATTTTCTTCTCACTTCTCTATTTTTTTTTTTTCCCAGATACCTAACTCTTGGGGTATTTGTCTCATTCGTGTGCTCACCTCCACGTGGCAACATAGTTTGTAAGTATAAGTGAACAATGTATCACAGTTTAATTGTAGTTCATATTAATTTACAGTTCATGTGTGGTTAAAATTGTTTGCAATATAAATTGGAAACATTTAGAGTAAGTATAGTTAAAAGCACAAATGATTGATTTATGATTCAAAAAACTTGAAAAGGAGCTGGCCTTTTGAATGTCTTTTTTGTAACATGAAAGCTGTTAAACCTTAACAACAAACTCGGCTGAAAGGCAGCTGATTTTACAAATAACCTAATTGATATGTTGTCCTTTGTCTTCATTCACAGGTGCTGTGTGAATTTGGCCTTGCAAATTGTGTGACAGTTCGTTATCTACCAGGTATGAGTTATTAAAACATTTTAGGTTGAGACATTTCCACCAGAGCTTGACAGGTCGATATACTTGTGTACATCTAGACTGTCCTTGCACATTCATAAGCTGGAAGCAACTTTTGACACACACATATCGAACACACCACAAGTTTGACACAGCAGGTGCTCAGTCCACTACGTTCTCATGTCAGGGTGTGAAGAACTTTCAACAGAGAAGGAATACTTCAGTCATATTAATCAACACCTTAGGCAGTATGAAAATGTGACTTGTATGTTTGAGGAATGTACTTATCAGTCAAACATATATGGTACTTTTAATTCACATAAAAATCGTAAACATAATCCCCACAGTCTAAAGGATGTTTTTTGTTGTTGTCTAATCTGATAAGCATGTACGGTTGAGCTGTTAGTGCGTCTCTTGACACTGACAAGCATGTTTTGTTTTCTTTTCAGAATGAAGACATTAACGTGAGGCGTGATTGTGTGCTTCGATGCCTGAGCATCTACCTCAATGAAGATCTGGACACACTGGTTAAAGAATACATGGTAAGATGTTCAGCCTACTGTCCTTTCTGCAAAATGTAATTAATTTCTATCCAGATAGAATAACTTGTAGCGTTCATGAGAATGGGATGGACATGAGGATGCATTGACATGACCACCAGTAGTTCACGATTGAGTCCAATGGGTTGTTTAGAATGAGAATTTCCCACAAGGCCAACGGTGGTAGTTTTGTCACTTTGTAGGAAGTAAATCCACTTAGTTCAGAGGAGCCAGAGGATACAGTGGGCCGGGTCCTGGCATCTAAAAGCCTCCATTATGCCAAGGACGACAGTTTTTGTTCAAACAACAAGGTGAGGACACTTCATTGTTCTTATGAACCAGCAGTTTTTTGTTCAATGTTTTTCTGTGTTTGTTTTGTGTGGTAATCAATAGGATGCATGTTGTGGACTGTCTGCTTACGAACTCCAGCGCCTTGAGAACATCAAAGAGAAAGAGGCCTTCTTGTCGTCTTTGAAGATATGGCAAGTATGTGGACATGTTAATTGGAACTGTATCCAATACAAGACTGATCAGTTTTTTTTTTTTTACTAAATTTAAAGGGGAAGTTTAGCATCCCTTGTAGTTGATGAGCAATTGCCACTGTTGTCCATTGATAAAAATAATGGGGTAATTGTATTTCTCTGTCAAAAGGCAGCTGAGGATCTGAGGCAATCAGTAAAGCCAAAGACGCATGTCAAGAGGTAAGCCCTAAAGCAGTGTATTTGAAAGCATGTATTGTTTTTGCTGTAGGGGCTGAATCTATTTAGTAGTAGGGGTCATTTCTGACAAGTAAGGGGTAAAGGGAGAGAGAGAATGTTAGGATAGGGAAAGGTTGGTCCTTTCTCTTCCCTGTTGTCCTTCCTTCAACTTGTAGGCCAACCACTCACTTTTCTACAGGTGCTGAAAAGTTGAATAATTTAAACTTCTCAGTGCTGCCCAGCACCTCCCCTGTTAACATCACAAGGTCAAGTTTTGTCACTAGGCTTGATGCACAAACTGCACTATTTCCTGACTGGAATATTGCATCAATATTTCCTGCACCATACTATTTTTAGTGATTTATCAGGTACACGTTGATTGTGTCCTGGCTAAAACTTAAACATCTGACAAGACCCCTTCATGAATTTGAATTGAGTGAGAAGGTTGGATAGGAGTAAACCTTACCCCTATAAGAGCTTACGAGAGAGGTGAGTAGAGCTGCTGGAGGGTAGAAAAGAGGGAAAAAGGGGTTGGAGAGGTTTGTCTTTTCCTTCAATCCATTTTCCTGTATCCAATGTTTATTAGGGTCTTACAGCTCAGTGTTTCCCACAGGTTTGAAGGCAATGTGTGGTGGTCGTCGGCGGGGGGGGGGGGGGGGGGGGGGGGTACAGTGGTAAAGTGGTAGAGGACAATCTTGAGGTCATGAATCCAGTGAAATTAGTCACACACCTTTTTACAGTAATAAGTTACAGTAGATCAAAAGTGACATGTTTTGACTATTTTGGAGGTATTTTGGACCAAAATGGCTACTTTACCTCAATATTTCTCAATATTTCTACAGTAAAAGTTCCTGTTCTTTGGTACAGTGGTAGAGGACAATCTTGAGGTCATGAATCCAGTGAAATTAGTCGCACACCTTTTTACAGTAATAAGTTACAGTAGATCAAAAGTGACATGTTTTGACTATTTTGGAGGTATTTTGGACCAAAATGGCTACTTTACCTCAATATTTCTCAATATTTCTACAGTAAAAGTGTCTGGTCTTTGGTACAGTGGTAGAAGGCAATGTTGAGGTCATGAATCCAGTGAAATCAGTTGCACACCTTTTTACAGTGAAAAGTTACAGTAGATCAAATGTGACATGTTTTGACCATTTTTAGGCTATTTTGGACCAAAATGGCTACTTTAAATCAATATTTCTCAATATTTCTACAGTAAAAGTGTCTGGTCTTTGGTACAGTGGTAGAGGACAATCTTGAGGTCATGAATCCAGTGAAATTAGTCGCACACCTTTTTACAGTAAAAAGTTACAGTAGATCAAAAGTGACATGTTTTGACTATTTTGGAGGTATTTTGGACCAAAATGGCTACTTTACCTCAATATTTCTCAATATTTCTACAGTAAAAGTGTCTGGTCTTTGGTACAGTGGTAGAAGGCAATGTTGAGGTCATGAATCCAGTGAAATCAGTTGCACACCTTTTTACAGTGAAAAGTTACAGTAGATCAAATGTGACATGTTTTGACCATTTTTAGGCTATTTTGGACCAAAATGGCTGCTTTAAATCAATATTTCTACAGTAAAAGTGTCTGGTCTTTGGTACAGTGGTAGAGGACAATCTTGAGGTCATGAATCCAGTGAAATTAGTCGCACACCTTTTTACAGTAAAAAGTTACAGTAGATCAAAAGTGACATGTTTTGACTATTTTGGAGGTATTTTGGACCAAAATGGCTACTTTACCTCAATATTTCTCAATATTTCTACAGTAAAAGTTTCTGGTCTTTGGTACAGTGGCAGAGGGCAATAATAAGGTCATGAGTCAAGTGAAATTAGTCGCACACCTTATTCCAGTAAATAGTTACAATACTTGAAAATTGCACTAGCGGACCAAATTGTGTACTTTATACATGTAAACAATAGAGTGGCTATCCTCCTGAGGACTCACAATCTGCAGGAGGAATCGTAGGGGGCTGGTGCTATGTGTGCCGGGTGGCATCTCTATAAGGTTTTAATCACAAAAACGTGTCTCCCAGACCCCAGCGCGCTTTCTGTTCGATAAAAATGGGTGACTCCGAAAGGACGTTCCGCTGTTACCGTAAGTTCTCAACAAAACGCGCACCGTCTTTTCCCCGATGCGGGCCGCATGTTCATAGAGCTGAAAGATGCGGGCCACTTTACCGCGGTAAATTAATAGACACAGCTGCTTACAGCGATGATCGCTGATGGAGACGGAGACACGCGGTGTGCACGAAGGGGAGGGGCTGTGTGTGTGTAGGTCTCTGTATGTGGGAGAGACGCGTAGCTTGAGTGAGAGTTACGAAGGGCCGCCACATTTTAAACCCCCCTCCCCGCTGTCAAATTGACCGCTGCGGCAGCACTAGACGATGCATGTTTTAAATAGCGTAACAAAAAAAATATATATGTAATAATACGAAACGCAATTTGTGGCGGGCGGTCTCTAATCTGTGGCGGTGCGCCACAGATTAGTCTATGTGTGGGAAACACTGCAGCTACTGGGTATTTACATCACTGATCTCTGAACAAAATCTGGATGATTCCTGGTTATGTATTTTTATATATGTTTATAGTTTTTTAATTTTAATGTTTGTTTTTTATTGCAGGTCAAAGGCTTTATTGGTAAAAGAGCAGTTTATGCACTCTCCCCGGAAATCCCTCCGTCTTAAAGAACCACAGAACCTTACCCTCAGTGAAGGATCAGCCCATAAACACGTGAGACCAAGACTACTACTAAGAATTTACCTTTGGCCAAGCCACACCCCAGAGCGCAGCAAACAAAGGGCTCCCACAAAAGTTGGATAGTTTTTGACAGCTCTCCATTGACTTTAACACAGGCGTCTCTTGTTTTTGCTTTCAGCAAGCTATTACCGTCCTAGTTTTATTTAAATATTGTTGAACATTGTGCCTGGGGTATTTGTAACACAGATGTGTTTCCCAGAGAGGTGGTACAAGGGTGTTTATTTCCCCTTCCGACAAAGTGTCGTCCGCACAGTCGTCTAAAATTCTTCAAGGATCAACAAACGTACTTTTGTGTGCTCCAATTGTCTAACTAATGTAACTTTACAGTTGGGTCGTAAGAAAAAATCTTCCTGTTAAGATTATGATTTCGGTTCTCTAACCTAATTAATGAAGAACCAAGGTGCTAGCAACCAAGCATAGCTAGCACGTACGTTAGGATTGTAAAGATATGTTTTGACTAGCAGCTTGATCTTAACGTTGTTGTTCAAGCTACAAACACCTAACATTAATGTTACACACTGTTGTAGTAGTCTTCAAGGAGACCACTGCCACCGTGTTGGTTAATTTTAGCCACTTTGCGGCAGAACCCTAGGATATAAAACGGGGATAAATCCGTAGCCTACCATAGTGCAGTTTATCCAGGTGTGAACTTTGAGTCCACTATCAACATCTCACAACTGTTGTACATATTAGTTCCTTAGAGAAATAAATAACTTGGATTCACAATATTATCAATGGACTGTTTTACTCGGATGAACTACTGCAGCAATAAGCCACGTTGATATCAGCGCCCAGACGTTAATCTATTTGACATAGCAACAGTAACTTGGGGCAGGGCTTAGCCAAAGGTCAATTGTCAGATTTTTAATTGTGCACAATTTGAGAATGGGCTGTATATGTTAACACAAAATGCTTCCTTAACATTTTTGGAATTTGTTTTTTTTCAGGCTTTTAGGTGAGAAAAGGTCTTGGGGTCATTGTTACAATGAACTCACATCCATCTCATTCTCATGAACGCATATATACTGTGCCTTAAAGCTCTTCAAATAGAACATGTCTGAAATACCTTGATTACCTTTTGTTACCATGGTTTCCGTACACTTATGCCAGTTTCAAAACCAGGAAGGTGGGACGGTTTAATAAATTTTTCCTGCTAACAATGTGAACAACAATAAAGAAAAGCAATTGCTAGGTTTCAGGTTCTAGAATTTGATGTCACAGGACCCAGTTGGGGGGCAAGAGCCAGTTTTTCCTATTAATTGCATTACACTTTCACAAGTGATATCTAAAAAGTAAATGTATGAACTACAAAAAATATTATCATTAATCCCTGGGTCCATGATCTCTATGTAAAAGACAAAATTATTTTGTTTTAGAGGAAATTTGTTATCTCCATATATTATAGGTCTTTAGAATGCTGTGATGTCACATGCAACCCAACATATAAATCTTATTCATAAGAAAAATAAACGGCACCAAAACTTAACTCATATCAAAGTGCCGTCCTGTTCTCTGAAGTAGAGTTAAGTTTTGGTGCTGTATATTTCTTTTACTGTTTTTCAGTCATGGTCCTAACTATGTGGACCATGACTGCTTGCTGCCTGGTCTTGAAACTGGCACAGGTGTATAGAAACCATGTCAATGAAGGTAATCAAGGTATTTTAGAAATGATCTATTAGGGATGGTCTGCTTAGATTTTGGTTAAGGTTAGGGTCACACAGCCCATCATTCTGTTCTTTATATTCCAGGACATTGAATCCAGAGAGGCTGAGGCAGACATTGGCGAGAAGACCATGGGCATCTACACAGTCCAAGCAGAAGTTGATGTTCCAGGTGATGGACGCTTTGCTGATGTCGGAGTTGTGCTGGAAGGTGTGAAAGTTCTCCATAATCTACAGAGTGTCAGCCATGCTTGTGTGATGCTTTATGGACTGATCTACGCACTCAACTTGAGCTATCCAAAAAGCCTGAAGAGTACATTTGAGGTATACCAGAAAATCTTGATGGACCTTGACTCAAGCAAGCTTTCACCAAAAGTGCAGGCACTGAAACTCAAATTGCTCCAGTGATTTGACGGGCAATAATAAACTTACACAGCCCATACCCGAGTTTCCCTTTATTTTTTAAATCTTGTGTTTAAATGATCCCTTAGTTCTTGAAGGGTGCTTCAGGGAAATGCCTGTTTTTTTTTTTGTTTTTTTTATTTTGGTGTCCAAGCATTTAACAGGGGAGGTATGTATTGTGATGTATGAGCATGGCTGTGTAGGTGGATTCACAGATGGGTAGTTTCTAGTGCTAGCAGGCATTGTTGTAGTTGCTAAGCTCAAACCATATTTATCTTGAATTGTTACCAGATTCAATGGGAGCTAGTTGTGTGTTAAAGACATTTTGTTCCAAAAAGGTGCTTCAATTCCTGTGAAAGCCTGTCATCACTCAAACATTTTTTTTTCTAATATTGAAGGGAAACTATGGCCAAAACGCCTTCAAAACAAGACCCTAGTTTTGGCAATATTTTCTCTTAAACATTACCCTATGGCGTCAAATTGGGGTCTGAGTAAATGTAAACGTAAAATTAATATTGTAAACGTAGGTGGTAAGTATTGTAAACATAAAGAGAACTGTAAATGCACATAAACAAAAAAATTATTGTAAGTTTTACATTTACAATTCTCCTTTTCTTTCTTCACTTGAGCTATGGTTATGTTTTCATTCCAAAAGATCTTTAATAGTCTTCATTTTATTTTCCTTGACATTGATTATTTGACTTTAAGGTACATATTCCTGATCGAACCTTTATGTTCAACATTATTAAGAAAATATCTAGAAAATAAATATTTTGAATTTTGACATGCAAAAATAGTGTATAAAACGGAGCCCAGTGCAGTGTTTTTGTAGGTTAATTTCAAAATTCAGGAAAAGGATGTCCTGATAAAGACGGATGCCCTTCCCTGTGTTGTTAGGATTCCAACATTATCCAATCTTTTACTTTTTTCATTGACATTTCTGCCTCTTGCATTACTTTCAATAATAATCCAGCTAATCAGCCATTCACAAGATGGCCGCCACATTTGCCACGTTAAAGTTAGCATGTCCATCTAGCGTTTTGTCCATCTAGGGCTTTGGGAACGCCAAACACAAAAAAAAAGTATGGTAACCGTAGCTTGTGAATTGTAAACCTAACTTCTGAAGTGAAGAATGAAAAGGGGAAATGTAATTAAGTTTTAGGTTTCCAATATTTGTTAAAGTTACATTTACTGTTTTTATGTTTACAATACTTACAAACTACATTTACAATACCTTTTACGTTTATGTTCATGCAGACCCTAATTTGCATGCCATAAAACCATCAGAAACAAAACTGCAAAGACCACAAGTGGAGTATGTATTGGCTGGATAGGAAGTTTTATAGAATTTTTGCACTGGCAGTTTTGCACTTTGCTCTGTTGAGCCGAATTATTTGACATTTATTGGACTTGTTTGTGTTTTTGCTTCATGTCATGATTTATATATTCATTTTTTTTATATAATTTTAATTTCCAAGAAAAGTGTTTTACATATATTTTTACAGTTTAGTCACTCCAATGTGGAACTAGCGAGGACTATAAAGGTTAACAGTGTTTAGCCCAGTTCTGGATGGAGGAAAAACGTAGGATGGAAAGGCATGAGATGGACTAGAAAGATGGAGTTTTTTGTACGCACATTAATATTGAAGAAAATACGTTTTAAGTGGACCACAAGGATTGTGGATGTTCTGTCCTATAACAGCTCCATGTCTTGGACTATTGAGAGGCTTTAATGTTAATAAATCTGTGGCATTAACAAGGTGATCTGATTGTTCTTATGCATCATTAAGATCGTACTGAATGGAGCAAAAATTACATAAATGTGATGCATTTTGACTAATTTGGTTTATTACATAAGCATAAATAAAATGTAATTCAAACAATATACTTTATGTATTTTAAATAATTACACTGCTTATAATTAATTTGGAGTAATTATATTTTATTAATACAAAACGCATAAACCTGAAGATTATGCATTTCAAATAAATTAGCAATATTACACTAATGAATATAAATCATTTAAGGTTTATTTGGTAGGTTTGTATTAAAATTATCTAAAAAAAGTGAATGGGAATTTGTCATGTAATAAAATTACATAAATCTTAAAAGTTAGTGTTAAATATTTCTGTGAGTGTGTTATATTCAACTTCCAACAGAAGATTTGTGATTAAACCCCTCTATGGAGGCTTCATAGAGGAAATTAAGTCTTAAAGTGGACATATCGTGTTTTCAAATAATTGATTTTTACATCTAAATCATTAATTTGTGGCCTATATAAAGCGTAACTGCAATGCCTGGGTCTGAGTCTCATTATTTGTAGCTCCACGGGCCTTTCTTCTACACCTGTTCTGAGGTGCGTCTGAGAGCAACCTGTTTTGGTGCTGTCTCTTTAAATGCAAATGAGGCGCTTTTGACCACGCCCCCATCCAGGTGACACAGGTTCAACTCCACCCCGAGCGGCCATTTTTGTAGTTACTAAGCACAGATACAATTATCTCATAGAAACTTCTCATTACATCGCAAACATGAAGCAGTCCTTCCTCATTGACTGAAAGCAAATGTTAATTTTCATTCTTAGTCCAGTCTTATTATCGACTCTTCTCTTTTTAGCTTTGGGATCCATGCGCACAGTCAAGGAGAGGAAAGGAAAGTTATTTATATAGCACAATTCATACACAAGGCAACTCAAAGTGCTGAACAAAATATGAAAGCATTAAAATCATAAATAATCACAGAACATTAAAAAGAAAGATAAAAATATAAAATCCCTCAGTTGTATGCACAGTTAAACAGAACTGTCTTTAACCTGGTTTTAAACATTGTCAGAGAGGAGGCCTGTCTCACATCTTCAGGAAGACTGTTCCAGATTTTAGCAGCATGAATCTGAAAAGCAGCCTCCCCATGTTTAGTCCTGACTCTGGGCACTAACAGGAGTCCAGTCCCTGTGCTCCTCAGAGTCCCAGCAGGAGTCCAGTCCCTGTGCTCCTCAGAGTCCCAGCAGGAGGCCAGTCCCTGTGCTCCTCAGAGTCCCAGCAGGAGTCCAGTCCCTGTGCTCCTCAGAGTCCCAGCAGGAGTCCAGTCCCTGTGCTCCTCAGAGTCCCAGCAGGAGTCCAGTCCCTGTGCTCCTCAGAGTCCGGGCTGGTTCATATGGGACTAACATGTCACTAATATATTTTGGAGCGGGACCATGGAGAGACTTGTACACAAGCAGAGCTCACACGCCGGTTTGTTTACAACAGCGGCCGCCCGGCGCTGGCCTACGTCGCAGGATATGACGCACTACGTTGACAGAAATGTTTAAATTGAATATTACTTATGCACAATTTTACAGCATTTAAAAACGTTAAGAACGTTTTTCCTTCTACAGAAGGAAAAAGACGCATGCGCCTCCTGAGCCGCAGGTTGCCGACTCCTAGTTTATACAGTATGTGGAAGCAAATACTGTAGAGGATCAGGATATGTGCAGTTTCAACAATAAAATAAAATGCAATAGTCTACATTAAACAGAGTAATAAACATGTCTCAGAGTGAGGGAGGTGGACACAGACAACACTATTGTTTGTTACAGGGATGAGAATTGGTCAAAAAAGACTGAAATGCATATTGTCAGCCATTTGCTGGCTCTAAATCTGTTTAATTTGTTCACAACATATTACTTTTGGGCTCAAACATGAACTTTTAATGCAATGCAAAATGTAGGTATCAGAGCTTTATTTAGGGCAGGGGTCGGCAAGTTGGCTTGGCTTCGGGCCAATATTTTTTTACGCCGATAGGTGGCGGGCCAACCGGTCAATTGATAAAAAAATAAAATGTATTCATGCATGGATATTCAATACTAGATAACCCCAAACTATACATATTTTTTTTCATTTAAAAATAAAATATTGTTTGAAACAATACTATCCCCGAGTCTGTCTGATTTTCGCGGGTTACACAGCACTAGCAAAAAAATAAAGTTAGCATCACAAACATGTCGCTTTCCAAAGGACAAAAAAGAAAAGTGGACAGTGAAAACAGGAGTTTCAGGGAGGAATGGAGACAAACATATGGTTTCATCCTACCTGGATATGTGAATGCCAAACCTCTCTGCCTCATCTGCAACGAGGTAATCTCCGTGTGCAAAGAGTACAATATTCGGCGACATCATGAAACGAAACATGGGTCATTCAGTGCGTCCTTCCCATTTCAGTCTGAGTCAAGGCGTCTCAAAATCGATGCTCTTTATGACGGTTATATCCGGAGCAGCAGGGTCCTAGTTCGAGGCCTGACCACACAGGAAAAGGTATCCAGTGCCTCGCTTAAAGCGTCCTGGATTTTGGCCCGTCATGGGAAGCCTTTCACTGACGCGGAGGTTATGAAGGATGTGATGGTGTCCGTGTTGCAGGAGCTGTCCACGGATAAAACTGCTGATGCACTGATCGCTTCTGTAAAACAGATGCCACTCTCCGCGCGCACTGCTGTACGGCGTATCGAAGCACTGTCCTCAGACATACATGGGAAAATAACGCGCGCTCTCCATAAGGCTGATCATTATTCCCTGGCTATTGACGAAAGCACAGACACGACGGACGTGGCACAAATGTGTGTTTATGTTCGATATTTTGATGACAAGTCAGTCTCATTCCAAGAGGAACTTCTTTTTCTCATCCCATTGGAAGGTCAAACTACTGGGGACATACTGTTTGCCAAACTCGAGGAGCAGTTTAGGGAGAATTCGTTACCCCTTGAGAAGGTTAATTTTATTGTGACAGACGGCGCTCCATCTATGGTTGGAAAGCGAAGAGGTTTGGTGAGCAGACTCAAGGA